TTATTTGTGTGGGTATGATGGACATTAGCCATTCAACCATTTAATTTAGTGTTAATGACATTATGCATGTCAAACCATTTAATATTTGAGTAGTGTCAATCATTGTTAGTGACTAGTTATTTTATTTATTATATAATCAAATATCATACAAGTCAAAAGATTCAAATATGCTATATCTATGTTTGGGTAGGTGTTTAATAGAACAAAATGCTATGCTTATTCCACCCTTTCTACAGGTTGAAAATGTAGTACAAAGATATCTCACTTGAAATTATTTTTATACTACCATGAAAATATGAAATTATGTGAAAAACACACAAGTAAATTGTTCACATAGATCCTCTACAGGAGGCACCTAATACAAGTGAAATTTCCGCATGAGCAAAAATCTTGTCTAACCATGAGTCATGACATTAAATAATATATTTCACACCATGATAATCAAGCATAGTTTTTGTGTAAAATAAAAACTATTGGAAAAGCATATATTGGAAAAGATATTTTGAAAAAGATGCTCATCAAACCAGCCGATAGTTTTACTATTTTAATATTGAATAAGAGATCGAAACTTTGGCGAGTTAGTTTCTAATGGCATGCAATATTTTATTTGAAATATTATTATTTCTCTCCATTTTTTTGTCAAATTCTAAAAATTATTTTTAAATGTTTTACAAAATTTGGAGTTTTCAGTAGTGAATTTGTTAAGAGTATAGAAGGGATTTTGCAAGCTTCTTTAGCAAAAACCGTCAGATTGTGTTTCTTCAAGATATCAAATTTTCTCCACAAAATAAGACGATCAAATTTTGTGGTGATCTCAAATTTATTAGCATGTTCTGGTAGATTATCTCCACAAAATTTCAATTCAAAATGAAAAAATGGTGAGATTCCAATCTTATTTATTACTCCCTCCGTCCCAAAGGATTAAGAAATGACAATAAATGATTCATGTCTTTTACACTTTTGCCCATCTTTCAAAATGTAGATGCCTTTTAGTTAATGGGGAAAAAGTAAAAGTAAGAGTAAATTTGTCACATTATTCTTATTTACATACCTAAAATAGAAAGTGGAAAACTATTTTGGGACAACCAAAAAAGGAAATTTTGCAAATCAAATTGGTACGGAGGGAGTATTACTTTTCTCTTGAGAGACTGTTCTCAACTGAACTATCCCCCATATACTACGTATATAATAACTAGAATGACGGGTCAAATAGGCTTTGCTGATCTCTTCCATACAATCACAGTGCCACCAAAATCAGAGGAAGCTAACAAGTTGTCCCCGTGGTTCCATGCTATGCCTATAGTTGGATATCCATGACCCTGCACGCCATAATTGCTTAGCAACTATTCCCTTCTCAAATAGATATCGTTTATTTTAGGGTCTCTACCAACTACTACACGTTAAGGGGGTGTATTGTATTAGGATTTAGTGGCAAAATTTTAAAAGTCCATGGATTTTAAAAGTTTAGGTGTATTCAATGTGAACTTTTAAAAGTCTACAAAAGTATAGGTGTAGGGATGGACTCGGGTCCGGGCCGGGCCTAGGCCCGGGCGGGCCGGCGGGTCAGAAAAGGTGGACCCGGGACCGACCCGGGTAACCACCGGGTCCGGTCCGGGTCTGGGCCGGGCCGGGCCGGGCCGGGCCGGGCCCATTATATTTTTTTTTTGTTTTCCTCTTCCTAATTAACCCCCTCCCACCCCCAACCCCCCAAACCACCCCAAATGGCCCAAAATACCCAGCCCAACCCGAAAATTTAAAAAAAAATTGAAAAAAAAGAAAAAAAAATAGTTTTTGGCCCGAACCGGGCCCGGGCCCGGCCGGGTCGGGCCTTGTTTTGGGTGACCCGAGCCCGGACCGGAAAACCCACGGGCCGGGCCTACCCGGACCGGTCACTGCCCGGGCCACCGGGTCGAGCCGGGCCTACCCGGACCGGTCACTGCCCGGGCCACCGGGTCGGGCCGGGCCGGAACCGTACCGGTCCCGGGCCGGTTCCGGGTCGGGCCACCCGGCCCGAGTCCATCCATATATAGGTGTATTCAATGTAGACTTTTAAAAGTCTATAAAATCATGGATTCTCGTGGACTTTTAACTCATTTTTAGTACATTAATTCTCCTCAATTGTCTCTTCTCCTCACTAAAGATTTTCGTGGACTTTTCTTATATCGATTCTTCATCCCGTCCCACCCCATCCCTCCCCTCCCCCCCAACTCTCCTCTTCTTAAGCCAAGCTACCCGTTCCCCTTCGATCTTTCTTCTTCTTCAGCCCAGCTCGCCCCACCCCTCTCCTTCCGTTCTTTTTCTTCTTCAGCTTGCCCCACCCCACCCCCTCGATCCCCCCTCGATTCGTTAATCCCATATTGGTTCGATTCTAGAAGTTTCTAGAAGAACTGGTATAAGAATCGATAGTATTACATAAGAATCTAATTAATTCTCCACAAAATAAAATTGAGCACAAACTAGTATTCCCAACTAGAAGTTTCAAGTTTCAACTGACAAATAGTTACCAACTTGTTTTCTCAGTCATTTTTAAAACAGGTAGGTTTTAACATTGCTGTTCAAAAATAATTACTACTCTCAGTTTCTGAAACAACGTGTTTTGGACGCCCCCCAACAATACTTATTACTTATTAGAGAGCAGCAGAGCGATTACTGTACAGCTGGGTGAGAGAGTGTTCAATGAAATGAAGCATTTATACATACCTGCAGCTTGTTAACACATGTACCCTTTGGTCGAGTTATATCGTAGAAGTACACATTTGCATCCTCACTTCCAGCAACTTGTGTGGTAATAATAGAAGACAGGAACATTAAGTGCAAGATATATCTATATCCATCAATGACACATTTCTATAGGAAAATGGTTCCCAAAATAACAAATTGTGTGAAGGAAAGCAAGCCACATACCAATGTATTCTCCCTTTTCAAGGGACAATAAAGGACACAAAGCAGCACGGATACTGTACAACCGCGGGGCCAATTTTAGCGAACAACGAAGGGTCAAATAACCTTTTACCTCCAAAGATACACTGCACAGCAGAATAATGTGAATTGAATAGGTATTATTTGGTAATGTTTACACTGCCTGTTTTCACATTTTCTTTGAAAATCGAGACAAGAAAAGATGTTTGTCATTAGTTTTAATTACTAGCTATGTATTTTCTGGAAGAAAAAAATGGCAAACCACACATCTAGTCACTCATTTGGTTGACATTATGCAATGTGCAAACTAAGCCTCAATTGTTAGGACGAGATACAGTTAGTCATACCTATTAAATTAACTTTTAACATGAAAATTAACAAAGGCATTCTTGACATCGTTGAGAATACCTCCCACAAAACCCAATCCATATGGAGATTTTCATAGAAAGGACTAATCATATTTACGAAAGTTGTAGCAAATGTCACACATATTACATAAAGCCAAACCATTGGAGATCTAGCCATCTAGGAGTGTGATTTTCCGTTTTAATATTTATCGAAAACAAAAAATTATGAGCTGTCATTGCTTTAGAAAACATTTAGAATATTTATAAGAATCAAATGCATCTATCACATATTCACATAAAGTACTCCAAAAATAATACGGAGTATATACAATACAGGCTTATCAAACATGTTTTACATTTCAGATGTTTACTAAAACCAATAAAACAGTCCTTCGGGGACATCCGATAAAATTGGAATGACAAAAACCAGAAACAAAATATCTGAAAACATAAAACATGCAGCGTTACCAAGTTAATCCTTACTAGAATTTCGATGAAAAACACATAGAAAGCGAGTGTCGGAATATACCAACCTGAAGAAAGACAAGTTGCCATCACGAGCAAAAGTCAGCAAGACAGGGCCACGAGCTAGCAGAGAGAACATCCTGTATTGAACACTTGTAACAGCTGTTCTATGTTTGCTGCTACTCCGCTGTCTATGAGATCTAGATAACACACCTGTACGAGATTCTATACACACTGTGTATATGCATCCCTGTATGTATTATTCAGCAATTACAAAAATATTATAAGCCAATGCATGGGTCATCATTTCAGAAAGCTTAGTGAAACGAGAGAAAAGGATGTGCACCAAAGCAGCAACCTGACCATCACCGCAAAAAATAAGATGACCCGTGTGATCGTGATCCATAGCAGTTACTTCGTCTTCAAGGTTAGCTTTGCTAATTGTTCTCCCAGTGCTAAAATTGAACACCTGAGATAACAGAGATTTAGTTCGTCGAAGAAAAATAACTCAAGATTGTATGTAGATGTATCAATTCTGCAATGGAAGGTGACTCTAATAAGTAATGACTATTATAGCTCATCCTGTCTCATTATGTTTTCAATGAAAGCGGAAAACCCATAATGACGACGGTTTTGTAAATGTATCTTATGGCTATTCTTTCTTTTTTATGTTGTGATATGATTGGATGTCCGGCATAAAACATAAGTTACATAAGCACTATAATATTTTGCATAAACATACTACCTCCATCCCACTAACATTATGATAGATTCTAGCCAAATCTATGAATTCAAACCTCGCAGAAAGATAAAAAAGGAGAAAACAAACAATTGGAGAAGTTAGTAGTTTAAGAGAGAGAGAGAGAGAGAGAGAGAGAGTCCATAGGCAGTAAAAGAGCGCTAACTCCCAAGTCCCAACTAACCAGATAGTTCCAACCTACCCCCACAAAGCACAACACCTCTTATTTAAAATACACCACCCGACCCCATATACACACATTAGCTAATTATTTATTAGTTCCCTTTCCCCTTCTAGTGTAGACTTTATCATAATAGGTCATGCCCTCGTTATTATTAGACGGTCTCTTGCCTTGATCTCTATCACATTGGGACATGATGAGGTGGTGCGGTTATTAAAAAAAGTGGATTTATGTGGTTACTATGAATTGATTGTTGAAACCCTAGTTGTATTGGGCTTAGCCCGTCTTGTATAGTAACCCTAGTGCTGTAGTTTTTGCTATAAATATAGCTTCTTGTATAGTTCTTTACATCAAGATTCATTAATAATGAAATACAGTTCATATAGTTCACATGGTATCAGAGCCACTGTCTTCTTCCAGCGAGTATTTCCGGCGTGAACAGTAGCCGCACTAGGCGTTGGAGCACTTCCGGTAGTGATATATAAAATCTACACCTACCGCCTTGCTCAGCGCACCATCGCGACCAACCCGCCGGAAACCGTACCAGCTCGGAAGCCGCCACGCGCCGCAGGGCTTTCTGAAGTATTTTGCAGATCTTCTCCGTTTTACTCATCTGCGAGCGACACCGACATCTTTTTCAGACACCTAGGTCCCTGACGACCTAGACCAGTCAGTCCGGTACTCCCAGGCTTCTCCACGCACCGCCGCCGCAAACCACACGCGCCGCCGCCGCATCACACGCGCAGCCGCCGATCGATCTGGCCGCCAGAAACGTGCCGCCGGTCCAGACCTTCTGCCACCTCGCTGCCTTACACGTGAGCACACTTGTTCCGCTGCTTGTTCCTCTTCTAAGGTCATGGTAGTGTGCTTCCATATTTGTGTTGTTTTAACTTACTGTTCCGCTGCACGTTTGTGAGCAGATTAGTAACCTTACTGATCTGCCTGATATTTTATTTTCTTAAAAAAATCAAAAAAAAAAAAATAAATAAAAAACAGAAATGTCAAGTTTCTCTTCGTTTGCTTCAGTTCCAATTATTACCACCGATCGACTAGCCGGAAGTATTAATTATCAATCATGGGCTATTTCCGTGGAGATGTGGTTCAAGGGTCAAGGTCAAATTGATCACTTGAATGTCGATGCAGCTACGATCAAAGACAAGCGGAATGAATGGGAGAATATGGATGCCTTATTGTGTAACATGTTATGGCAATCTATGGATCCAAAACTTCATCCTACTTATCAATCATACCGCACATGCAAACAGATTTGGGAAAAAGCGAAGGCCAACTACACAAATGACATCCAAAATCTGTTTTCCTTTGGTTTCAAAATTGCTACGCTCAAACAACAGGATTTGGACATTCAAGAGTTTCTAGGATGGGCTGAGGCATTAATGTTTGAATATAATAATATTCAACCTATCACTGAGGATAAGGAGAAACAACTTGAGCAAAGACAACAACTTGTTATGATTCTAACCTTAGCAGGTCTTCGCCCAGAGTTGTTATCAATCTGTGAGCAAATTCTCTCCAGTTCTTCTGTTCCTACAATGTCTGAAGCCTTTGCCAGAATTCTTCTAGCCGCCCCAATATCTCGTGACACACCTTAAGTGATTCTATCATTCTTGCATCTCAAGGTTCAGGGCATGATGGGGAATATAAAAAAGGATATCCATGCCGTAATCGCCCCAAGTGTGATTTTTGTCATAGGATGGGTCATACTAAAGATAGGTGTTGGAAGTTACATGGTAAACCTTCCAGCTCTGCCAACGTTGCTCAAATCCCACAAGTTCCAGTTGTGCTACCTCTTGACGAATATGATGCTTATCAGAAATTTAAGCAGTCCACTTTGACTTCGTCAACATCAGGTACTTCTACAGCATTTGTGTCAAACACAACTGGCTCGTGGATCATTGACTCGGGTGCTTCCGACCATATTTCTGGTAATCCCCATCTTTTATCCCATATTACAAAACACCAAAACCTTCCATTAATCACCCTAGCTAATGGTCTTCACACTTCGGCTACGGGTATTGGACAAGCACTCCCACTTTCATCCTTACCATTAGATTCAGTTCTATATGTTCCTCATAGCCCTTTTAACCTTATCTCTGTTAGCAAAATTACACGTTCTCTTGATTGTTCTATAACCTTTTATGCTGACTCTGTGATTGTGCAGGACCGTTGTACGGGGAAGATGATTGGTGTCGGGCGTGAATCTCAAGGCTTATATCACCTCCAACCTCTTGATCCAGTTGTTTGTGTGTCCACTGAACCAACACTTTCCTTACATAATCGTTTGGGTCATCCCAGTCTTTCCAAATTTCGACATATGGTCCCAGGTTTCTCCAGTATTTCCTCTTTAGATTGTGAGTCGTGTCATCTTGGAAAGCAACCTCGTCAGTCCTTTCCAAGACGTGTCAATAAGAGGGCTGCGTCCCCTTTTGATTTAGTTCATACAGATGTATGGGGTCCGTATCGAGTCAATTCTACCCTAGGATTTCGTTATTTTGTCATTTTTGTGGATGACTTCTCCCGTCACACGTGGTTGTTTATAATGAAAGAACGTCTTGAATTGTTTCATATCTTTCAAAAGTTTTGGGCTGAAATTCACACCCAATTTGGGCGTTCTATCAAGATTGTACGTAGTGATAATGCTAAAGAATTTTTACCAGTCCCTTTAATCAATTCATGACATCACGAGGTATGCTTCATCAATTTTCTTGTGTTTATACACCTCAACAAAATGGGGTTGCTGAACGCAAGAATCGACATTTAATTGAAACTACCCGTACTATGTTGTTACATTCGCATTCACCACCACAGTATTGGGCAGATGACGTTCTCACTGCATGTCACCTCATTAACAGAATGCCTTCATCGGTTCTTGATAATGCCATTCCCCATTCTGTTTTGTTTCCTACTCAGGCACTGTTTCCATTACCACCTCATGTGTTTGGGTGTGTTTGTTTTGTCCATGATACCACACCAAGAATATCCAAAATGTCTGCTAGGTCAATCAAATCTATTTTTCTTGGATATTCCCGTCTTCAAAAGGGGTATCGTTGTTATTCCCCAGTACTTAGAAAACATTTTGTGTCCGCTGACGTCACTTTCCTTGAGTCATCATTTTATTACCCATCTCCCCTCCATGATACCCCCTCCTGTGTCGACTTTCTTCCATATCTCAAACCCATCTCCACCCCCCTTACCGATGCACCTATCGACCCATCTCCACCAACAACCCGCCCTTTACAAGTGTATCAACGACGCCCTCGCCCTCCACCCAATGAGTCCTCTGAGGTCACGCCAGTTGATTCCCTACTCCGGATCCCACACCAACACAGTCAGCTACCCAAGTGCCAGAAAACAATCATGATGATTTGCCCATAGCCCTCCGCAAAGGTGCACGCTCAACTTCGAATCCTCATCCCATTTATAACTTTTTAAGTTATCATCGCCTCTCCGACCCTCACTTTGCCTTCACTTCACATTTATCTGGTGTCTGTATTCCTAAAACCACACATGAGGCATTATCACACCCAGAGTGGCGTCGAGCTATGTTAGCTGAAATGGAGGCCTTGCATTCTAGTGGAACATGTGATTTGGTTCCCCTTCCTATTGGGAAATCAGTTGTTGGGTGTCGCTGGATATACACGGTCAAAGTAGGACCAGATGGCAACATTGATCGTCTCAAAGCACGTCTGGTTGCAAAGGGGTATACACAAATCTATGGATTAGACTACACTGACACTTTTTCTCGTGTTGCAAAAATTGCATCCGTTCGTCTGATTTTTTTATCCATGGCAGCAATGAGCCATTGGCCATTGTTTCAATTGGATATTAAAAATGCATTTCTCCATGGTGATTTACATGAGGAGGTTTATATGGAGCAACCACCTGGTTTTGTTGCTCAGGGGGAGTCTGGTTTGGTTTGCAGATTACGTCGTTCTTTATATGGCCTGAAACAATTCCCGCGTGCATGGTTTGGGAGATTTAGTGTTGTTCGTGGTTTTGGCATGACTCGGAGTGATGTAGATCATTCCATATTCTATAGACATTCTGCAGGCAATAAATGTATCTTTCTTGTTGTATATGTTGATGACATTGTCATTACAGGTAATGATGACCAAGGAATTGCCCAACTCAAGGAATATCTTTTTAGCAAATTTCAAACAAAAGACTTGGGAAAACTAAAGTACTTTCTTGGTATTGAGGTTGCCCAATCAAGAAATGGAATTGTGCTCTCACAGAGGAAATATGCATTGGATATTCTTGAGGAAACAGGTGTGTTGGATTGTAGGCCAGTGGATACACCAATGGATCCAAACGTCAAACTCGTGTCAGAACAAGGTGACCTCCTGCCCAATAAAGAGAGATATAGAAGGCTTATTGGGAAGTTGAACTATCTTACCATCACAAGACCAGATATTTCATTTGATGTCAGTGTGCTTAGTCAATTTCTTGATAAGCCATGTGATGGACATTGGGACGCAGCTATCCGAGTCTTGAGATACATCAAGAAAACTTCAGGACAAGGATTACTCTTTGAAGATCGAGGGCACAATGACATTGTTGGATATTGTGATGCAGATTGGGCTGGATGTCCAATGGATAGACATTCTAATTCTGGATATTGCATTTTGATTGGTGGGAATTTAATTTCTTGGAAAAGTAAGAAACAGGATGTGGTTGCCAGGTCTAGTGTTGAAGCAGAATACCGTGCAATGACCCTTGCTTCATGTGAGATATTATGGTTGAAGCATCTCTTCCAAGAATTAAAATACGGAAGCATGAAACTCGTCAAGCTAATGTGTGATAAATGATAATTAAGCTGCAATGCACATTGCTTCCAATCCGGTGTATCATGAGAGGACTAAACACATTGAAGTTGATTGTCACTTTATTCGAGAAAAAATCACAAATGGACATATTACTACTCATTATGTCAAAACAACATATCAATTTGCATATATTTTAACCAAGTCTCTTAGAGGACCTAGGATGCAATATATTTGTAACAAACTTGGTGCATATAATTTATATGCTCCAGTTTGAGGGGGAGTGTTGAAACCCTAGTTGTATTGGGCTTAGCCCGTCTTGTATAGTAACCCTAATGTTGTAGTTTTTGCTATAAATATAGCTTCTTGTATAGTTCTTTACATCAAGATTCATTAATAATGAAATACAGTTCATATAGTTCACATTGATAAAGTAAGAATGATTTAGAACCACACAAATTTGACCAAATTTAGTATGAGACAATCTTAGTGGGAGACCGAAAAGGAAAGATGTGACGATCTTAGCGGGACGGATGGAGTACTTGTTATGGCGGGGTTTCGCTGCACAGCGCCACCAGACTGCCATGGCGATATTGCGCCTGCCATGGCGAATATTACGGCGCAACGTTGACATGAGTACAATAATAAATGAATAATACTCCTTCCGTCCATTGAAACTTTGTCAAGTTTGACCAGCACAGGAAATAATAAAGTAAGAAACGTGTGGTTGAACTTTGTGCAAAGGAGAGAGAAATAGGATCACAAATTAATTCATTAAAAGGGAAAATGACAAAGTTTTTGGGACAACCGAAAAGGAAAGGCGGAAAAAGTCATAAAGGACGGGGCAGTAGATTTTATATACTACATGTAACACTTATAGCCAGCACTACTAAGATTAGAGACTATCAAAGTTATAGGAGTAAAGCATCTAACCATTGAAACAACATAATTTATTAACATGCGACATGAAGACTTGTCAATTACTAATAGTAATTACTAATACAAAACAATAGAAAGCAAATTTGTTTTCAGAAAATAAAATCAAATTTTACAGTTTAAATTATTGTTAAACCCACTGCTGCCGTAAACGAAATGAACTGTAGTAAAAGAACACTGCAGTAAAAAAAGAACCAGTCTGAAAAAATAAAAAGATGCTCGGGGTGCCGACAACCAATGCTGACAAGCGAGGCGACGGGAACAAGCAAGATGATGAGTGATGAGTCTGGACTGGGTTACGATCTGTGGCACCATGAGACGGATATGGCGTCGCTTGGACGCTGTGTCATCAATGAGGAGACGCCATAAGCCATAAGGCTTGTCTAGCCTCCATGGCGAGCACGATAGAGTGTCGCGACGCCAGGCAACGCCGTAACAACTATGGCATAAACTTACAGTGTTTACTTATTTTAAACAACTAACATACACTACAAAGATCATGTCATCATTACCAATGCCATAATGACATTGTGATTAAGGTGGTGAGCATAATTGTATGTGTATATCTATGTGTGTATAGTGTGTTTCAGGAAAAACTGCAATATGCAAAAAAAAACTTACATTAATTTCTTTGTTTGCATTCCCAGCAGAAAAAAAGTTATTGTTCACCTGAAATTAACTCACTATGTCACAAAGATTAAATTAAGATTTAAGGGACAAATAACTGTCCACTTACAGGATGAAATCGTAGACATAGTTGTGATGACACTCCATAAATCACCCTAACACAAAGGCCATTGGAAACATCCCATACTCGTATAGTTTTATCCATTGAAGATGAGGCAATGTATTGGTTATTTGCCGAGAAGTCAAAATCTGAACAAGAATGAGAAATCAAAACACAGGCATGAGGCATGATTTCTTTATTAGTATTATTAACAACTAAATTTAATTTTTTCATTCCCTGCACATCATTTAGTGAATAAAAGAGAATACGTGTAAAATGCTTCACAGTAATTCCATATGGTTGAGTATAACTTTTGGGACAATCCCTGGTTAGTGGTCATTAACTGACTCAATGTTAGAGAGTAAAGAGGCTGAAGACAATAAAGTGAATTTATTAGCAAAAAGGAAATAAAATAAACAATAAAATAGCATCAGGGAAACCCTCCAAGATCCCTGAAGGAACCCTCTCTGCAAGAATACTTCTTGCCTCATCCAATGGCCAATTATTTTCTTCTAAATTCTTGATGCCCTCTTTAAAAGGAGAAGGGCTAATTCATAAGTACATAGATCATTAACAAAGGAATAGTGGAATAAAAAACCATTACATAATTTGACTTTAATATCTGTTAATCCCAAATCAATAGTTAAACAACTTGATTAACTCCTTTTGATAAACTCCAGGCTTAATAACTTATTGCAAGTTGGGTTCTTAATATGCATCACAATACCAGTTAATCTGACCTGTGACATCTTTCGTATGTCCTATCAACTCCTTAAGAATAGAAGGAGGAGCGGAGACAGTGCACACTGTCAAGCTCCCATCCGATGCCCCATACGCTAGCAGGTCAGAACTCAAGTGCCCAAACTTTATTACCGTAACTACAGACAGAGAGAATATGATAGTCAAACAAAAAAATGGACTGGAGAAAATTAAATTATGTTCGTTTCATAGAGAAAATTACCCATGGCCTTGCATTTATCAAAGATGCAATGCATCCCAACAAAGGAATATGCAGGTTCGGACTTTTTACGTGGGCAGCCACTATCACTTGCATTTGAGCTAAAACTCGTAGTGCGACTTAATGATTGACTTTGACCAATACTTCGTAGATCCTGCAAAAAAGGATTTACAAAACATGTAGACGTGAGCAAGGGAAGATGTAACCATAGTTATGAATACTTGAATACATCTAATTGATTATAATGAAGTATGTGTTTTGCACCAGCCAAAATCTTAGGGTCCTTTGGAACTCGGAAAATGGTAGGGGAGAAAATAAAGAGAAAATTCTTACAGAGATAAAATGTGGGGAAAAATTGCTTCAAAATCCATATATCAGTGTTAGATATATGTTCTAGCTCATTCTATTTAAAGAAATCTGTCATATAGACAATGAGAAGTATAATCATGTGAAAAATATTACTCCGTGCGCTCCCCAATCAGTTCCCAGTTCGACCTACACATATATGCAAGACAAATATTGGTTTTGAGTTTTTGAGTATACTCTTACTTTGTGTAAAAGTGAGCAAAATGTAAACAAAAAGTAAGGGCAGTAATGACATTTTAGGATTTTCCCATTCAATTTTTTTCCTTTGCGTACATCCGACCCCCCTTACCGTAGGTAGGAGACTTTGCGGCACTGGGGTGATGATGATGATGATGATGATGATGATGATGATGATGATGAAAACAGGAACTTCACTTTGGGACATCCAAACAGGGAAAGTGGCAACTTGATTGTGAGAGGAATGGGGTAAAAGTTTTAAACAAATTCATTTGTCCATTGTTTTTACCAAACATTAAAAACCATTTCCTGAGTTGTTTTTTCTTTTGCCTACCATTTCATAGTTCCAAACATGAACCTGTGGAAAAACAGAAATGCTAGAAGAGCTAATTGACACCCAAAACATACAAAACTGATAGTAGCACTCACCCTGCTAGTACTCCAGCTGTCCGCCTCAAACCAATGAGATAGCCGGTAAGGAGATGGTTGCCAACGCCCGCTGAGGCATCAATCAGGAAATCAACCTGATGTCAGATTGTATTGGAAAAGGCTTCAACAAGAGTTAATAATAGTAAAGCTGCACATTAACGTAAGCGCTCACCATGTTCTAGGTAGATCAAAGTTCAACAACATTAAGATACCTATATGCCCACAGATTGAAAGAAAGGAAAAAATATACTTGATCCGATATCAGTCCTTATCCTTCGTTGTGAAAATCAAATTCACAAAAAAATCTTTTGTGGGAGGGTGTTAGGAATATAAAATAATGTTACATACGTATATTGTAAATAGCTTTAAACCTTCTAGATATACTTTGGGCTGTTAGTGCTGTTATACAGGCTGTTAGAGTTAGTTACTTGCATTCTACTATAAATACTTGTATTGACTCTTATAATCAATAACATTTGAAACTCCTTTATTCTATCTGAGTTCATTTTCTAATATGGTATCAGAGCATTAGCTCGATCAACCATGCCGGAAACTGATTCAACTTCATCTTCAACCTCTGCTACTGGAAGTGTCGCCTTTCCAGTAGCGTTCAATCAACCTCTTCCAATCAAATTAGACTCGAATAACTATCTTTTGTGGAAGCATCATGTTGAGTCTGTGATTCGCGCGCACAAACTCGTTCGGTTCATAGAGAATTCGAAGACTCCTGAGCAATTCATCACCGATGGAGATGGAAAGGAGACTGTGAATGAGGCTTACAGTCTCTGGGATCAACAGGATCAGATGTTGTTCGCGTGGATGCTTTCATCTCTATCCGAAACCCTACATGCTCGTATTATTCATTGCCAGCGATCGTATGAACTCTGGAGCACGATTCGCAATTTCTTCCAAACTAACATCGTTGCTAGGGCAAGACAGCTCAAATCCGAACTCTATAATACTGGAAAAAGGGAACGATCCATCTCAGAGTACCTGCTTCGAATTCAGACAATTGTTAACAACCTTATTCTCGTAGGTGAACCGATCTCTAACAAAGATCATATCAATGTTATACACGAAGGATTGCCGCAAGATTATGAAGCTCTTGTGTCCTCTGTAACTTCTCGCAGCATTCTCGAACCAGTTACCTTAGCTGAGCTTGAGTCCTTGCTTCTAGCAAAAGAGATGAGACTTAAGAAACATCATGACACTACTCAGCAAAGTATATTTTCTGCTAACGTTGCTCAAGTTGATGCTTCCTCTAAGAACAATTCATCTGAAATCTCTGTTACTGTTGAAAATGCCTCTGCAAATGATTCTCAGTGTAATAACCCAAATAGTGGTAATCCTTACCGCGGACGTGGTCGCAGTGGCTATCACAAAGGCAGGGGTGGTCGCTCTGGACGTAATTCTATCATTTGTCAAGTCTGTGGAAAATCAGGTCACCATGCCTTGATTTGCTACCACAGATACAATCCTGCATATACCAATCCAAACCCTAATCCTTCTTCTCAAAACCCTAATTATCCAAATCTACTGGAATCCCAACTCACAATCTCACTATCCTCCAAATCATTATATTCATCAACCTAAACCATATACCTTTCGATCTCAGTCTATACAATCAAAACCCAATCAGTCATGGAATCATCAGCCTACCAATCCACCTCCTGAAACCTTCAACCGGGGATATCAGCAACCTTTTAATACTCTACCAACTGCAAACTATGCCACTGCTAATCATTCTGTACTTGGTCCTATTCCATCTAATCAACATTGGTTTCCAGATTCAAGAGCAACTCACCATGTTACTGTAGATCCACTGAATTTCCAGCACAGTGAGCTCTTACTGAATAATACTCCCTCCATTTCTGAAACAAGTTCCACCTTTCCTGAAGGAACATCTAATCAACCTATTGCCACATCTGATAAGCTCTTCATGGGCAATGGCCAAGGTTTGGATATTAAGTCTATAGGTTTTTCTTCCTTTCTCTCACCTTATCACTCCTCACAATCACTCTTACTGAATAATACTCCCTCCATTTCTGAAACAAGTTCCACCTTTCCTTTTCGGGCAGATTCAAAAGTAAATTCCACTTTCAAACATTTCCTTATTATCTACATCAAAACAGTGTCAAACAGTGTCAACCCGTGCCAAACAGTGTTCAAACAGTGCCAAACCGTGCACTCCACAGTAAAGTCAAATTTATTTTCTTAATATGTGTGAAGTCAAATGTGGAACTTGTTTAGGAATCGGAGGGAGTATACTTCATGTTCCTCATATAACCAAAAATCTACTGAGTGTTAGTCAATTTGCCAAGGACAATAATGTCTTCTTTGAATTTTATCCTCATGACTGTTATGTCAAATCTCAGGTTTCTAAACAGGTCTTGTTGCATGGAAAACTTGGTGAAGATGGCTTATACAAGTTTCCTTTCATTCCTCTTGGTCCACGTCCAACTGCTGCAGTTCATCCTCAAGCTTCTTTAGTGTCTAGTAATAAATTTGTGCATCCAATGTCTTGTTTGTCAGCATGTAATAAGTCCCAGTCATGTAATTCTTCAATTTCATGTAATCTGTGGCATCTCAGATTAGGTCATCCTCATCTTGAGGCATTTAAATCTGTACTTAAACATTGTAATGTGTCTTCTATTAATCACATTGATGTTGATTTCTGTTCTGCTTGCTGTCTTGGGAAGGCACATAGACTTCCTTCACATCCTTCTAATATTGTTTATCATAAACCCTTTGAAGTAATATTCACATATCTTTGGGGTCCAGTACCCATTGTATCTTTTGATGGATATTCCTATTATATAACCTTTATTGATGCTTTTACCAGATATACATGGATATATTTCCTGAAAAATAAGTCTGATGCTCTTCTAGCATTCCAAAATTTCTACAACTTGATTCTCAATCAATTTTCAATATCCATAAAATCTGTACGGTCTGACTGGGGAGGGGAATTTAGATCCTTCACTAATTTCCTCAATGAAAAAGGAATCACTCACAGAATCATATGTCCTCACACTCATCATCAAAATGGTGTGGTTGAAAGGAAACATCGCACTATTGTTGAAAAAGGTCTCTCAATCCTAGCCCACTCTTCTTTACCTTTTAAGTTCTGGGATGATGCCTTTGCAACTTCTGTGCATCTTATCAACAGAACTCCATCTAAGTCCATTGCCAAATCCAGCCCATATTTTAAACTTTATGGATCTGTCCCAGATTATTCTTCTCTTAGAGTCTTTGGTTGCACTTGTTATCCTTTTCTCAGACCTTACAATAAACACAAGTTGGATTTTCACTCAGAAGAGTGTACATTCATAGGATATTCTTCTCAGCATAAAGGCTATAAGTGTCTTTCCAAATCTGGCAGTGTACATTTCAAAGGATGTCATCTTTCATGAATCCAGTTTTCCCTATTCATCTGTATCCCAATCTTCCATTCCCACAACCAAACCTACTCATAACTCAAATTCTGCCATATTAACTGTTTTAAACTCAAATCCTCCTTCTGGTTCTAACTCATCTCAATCCCAGCTTCATGAACTTTCATTCACTGACTCACAATCTCAATCTCATAACCTCTCATCCAATAATTCCCAGCCCACTGCCTCCCAACCCATCTCTTCTAATAATCACAATCAATCAGCAAGCTATTCATCTACTCCCTCCACTCATAATTCTTCAGTAAATTCCAACAACTCTACTCACAGTCCATCCCTACATCAGCAAGCTATTCATCTACAATCACCTTCTCCTCCATCATCTGACTCTACTTCCTCAATTTCCAATTCTGTTCATATAACTAACACTCATCCTATGCAAACTAGAGCAAAATCAGGAATTATTAAACCTAGACTTAATCCTGCCTTGCTATTAGCACATGTTGAGCCTCAGTCAGTGAAGCAAGCACTCACATCTCCTCAGTGGTTTTCTGCAATGAAAAATGAGTATAATGCCTTGATAGAAAATCAAACATGGTCTTTAGTTCCTTTACCACCTGACAAACAAGCTATAGGTTATAAATGGGTCTTTCGAGTTAAAGAAAACCCTGATGGTTCCATCAAAGATTTGGATTTGATATAAGGCCAGACAAATATAAGGCCAGACTAGTGGCCAAAGGCTTCCATCAAAGATTTGGATTTGATTTCAAAGAAACCTTTTCTTCAGTGGTCAAACCTATCACTATCAGAATATTACTCACCTTGGCAGTTTCTTATCAGTGGTCCATTCAGCAATTAGATGTCAATAATGCTTTTCTAAATGGAAAACTTGATGAAGAAGTCTACATGGTCCAACCCCCAGGCTTTCAGGCACAGGACACCACTTTAGTCTGCAAACTACACAAGTCATTGTATGGCCTAAAGCAGGCTCCTAGGGCCTGGTTTCACAAACGGACTTCAGTCCTTTATACAGCAGGGTTTCAGCAAAGTAAATGTGATCCATCCCTCCTATTCTTCAAGTCTCAAGGAGTTCAGATCTACATATTGATATATGTAGATGATATTGTGGTCATAGGCAATGATTCTAAAGCAATTCAAAACCTTATTTACAAACTACACTCATCCTTTTCTCTCAAGCACTTGGGTGACATTGACTTCTTCCTAGGAATAGAAGTCAAAAAGCTGATTGATGGAAGTCTTCATATCTCTCAAACCAAATACATAAGAGATTTATTACATCAAGCTGGCATGATTGATTCCAAAGGAGTGAAAACTCCCATGGTTAGTAGCTGCAAGCTAACTAATACAGGAAGTGCTACTCTTCCTGATCCCTCCACTTATAGATCCATTGTTGGCATGTTGCAATATGCAACTCTTACAAGACCAGAACTCAGTTATGCTGTAAATAAGGTCTGTCAGTTCATGGCAGCACCTCTACAAGATCACTGGAAGGCAGTAAAACACATTCTCAGATATCTATCTAGTACTATAACACATGGCGTCATCATTAAACCTCTACCTCTGAAAACTATGCCTTTACCTATCTTTGCCTTTTGTGATGTTGATCGGGCATCTGCCCTAGTTGACAGAAGGTCCACTTCTGGATCATGCATCTTTCTTGGGTCAAACATCATTTCTTGGTGGTCCAAGAAACAACTGAGAGTGGCCAGATCCTCTGCAGAAGCTGAATACAGAAGTTTAGCAGACATTGCAGCTGAACTTCTGTGGGTTCAGTTCTTACTCAAAGAGCTTCAAGTATCATTTTCTACTCCAAAGGTCTACTGTGACAACCTCAGCACTGTACAGCTTGCCCACAACCCTGTGTTACACTCCAGGATAAAACACATGGAGATTGATCTCTTTTTTGTGAGGGAGAAAGTTCAGTCCAAGCAGATTGAAGTGTTCCATATTCCTGCTTCCCAACAAATTGCTGATATTCTGACAAAGGCTTTGTCTGCATCTTCTTTTCTTGAGTTAAAAACCAAACTTAGTGTGATTGACCGACCTTCCAAATCAATCACCCTAAGTTTGAGGGGGGAATGTTAGGAATATAAAATGATGTTACATACGTATATTGTAAATAGCTTTAAACCTTCTAGATATACTTTGGGCTGCTAGTGCACTTATACAGGCTGTTAGAGTTAGTTACTTGCATTCTACTATAAATACTTGTATTGACTCTTATAATCAATAACATTTGAATCTCCTTTATTCTATCTGAGTTCATTTTCTAATAGAAGGGTGGTCAAACTGATCTAACTGAAATATTTATCATAATAAAGAACTTTAATGCCTGAATTTGCAATGTAATTAACGCAAGAAAATGACAAAATTATCTAACTTTATTGAGCAAGTTACCTAGGCCAAGAGCCTACACCAACATGCAACAAATAGTGAATAAGGTTGTCAAAGATATTCCCATGTTCGGATGCCACATTAGGCACTGGTAAACTAGTGTAAAATTTTCCTGTGGTTAATAGATCTATTTATGAGAGAACAGTTACTCCATGATCTAATGGGTTTTGTTGTCCTGAATTATGTTAAAGCACCAATTCAATAGTGTTTGTAAGGCATGATTCGGTTAAGAGATTGAGACTTCAGGATGTTAGTTTAAGCTTTCATTACAACAAGAAAAGATATATCTCAAATTCTCAACCACCTGTTTCCCGGGGTGCTCAAGTGGCTTGGTATCTGCAATCTTTCCCAATTCCTTGGTCGATTAATGAAATTGCGATAGGACACATAACCCATTCCATTGCTTTTCCAATCCTTTGACATGGATGAAATACTAGACAAAGTCATTACTTATGTGAAACTAAGAGCATGAATAAAACAAAAAAAACTGCATGAAGAAATAGCGGAAGAATTCAAATGGTAATTGACCGTTCCTTTATTTCTACAGCTCCTCAGTGGTTCCCCTAACATTCCCAAACCAACCCCATCCCAAAAATCCAAAAAGGCATCCTTTTTTCTACCAAAAATTTGGACCCACACTTGTCTTTGTGAAACGGTTAGGTAACCAATATAATAATCTTAATAAATTACTTATTACTACAAATAGGAATAGAAGAGTAAAACAATAGTTATTATGCTCATAAATAGGACCACCAATGTTTTACCCTAAAAACAGAATTGAGTCCTTAGAAAGAATAAAAGTAGTCACTAGTTATTTTAAGATTAATTTAGGAAAAGCAATTATAGCCATATGTCTATGTGTTATGATTTAGTCATATTTATGGAATTTTCTCTATAATCTATATGGAATTTTCTCTATTGTCTATGGTCTAGACAGTAAACATTTTCTGAATCTAACAAAATTTACTCTGTTTATTAATGATGAAGATTAGAAAATGCACAACAATAAGAGTAAATTGTAAGGGCATCCTCATTCATTAGTTTATTTGAAGATTAATTGTGTGATGTGTAAGATTATTTTAAAGATTATCATTGAGAGAGATTATTAAGGGAAATAATTGAAAATGAAAATCCGGAATCAAGATTCAAATCCGGATTATTTTAGATTGTAGTTAAAATATATTTAATGAATGTCCTAGAAAAACGAATTAATTGATAATCATTAATTGATGAAGATTTTGAACTTTGAGATTATTTAAAATGCATTGGGTGAAAATGATGTGGCAATGATGGTTAAAAAAAACTAATCGGATAGAAATAACAAATTCTAATGAAATACTTTCCCAATACTTTTCTTCCTCCACTTGGTAGGAAAGCTATAATTGGAAACTACGATGTAATTTATGGAAGCATTGGTTTATAAATTCCTCTTAGTCTCCACTCAAAGAGAGAAAAATATATGTAAAGAGCATGAATGGAGATGTTCTGAGGTTTAAAAAGTTGACGAGTTTACAAATTAGTCCAGCATTGCAACAGAGACATTAAATTTCCAACTTGTAAACGGTAAACTTTCCATTTTCTGATTCTAAGAAATACTCGTAAATTTTGATTGCAATGATAGTAACATATCACATTCCAGCGATGGAATCACATAACTTGTTAAGTCACAAAGACAATCAGCAATGACCGTTACACAAACATAATGGAAAGATTTTTTAAAAGCAAACCAAACGCACTTTTCGGCTAAGAATACCGGACTCGGCTTTGCGGTAGAGAAGAAGTCTACGAATTCCAATATACATAGGATCGGAATCGACGGGGGAAGGCTGAAGCATACAGCAGAAGAACTCGGGATCTGAAGCAGTGCCCGCTTTCTCTCTTAGAATGTTCTTCGGAACAGCATTAGCAGGCAAGCTCTTTTCAGTCGTCACCTCCGCCATCACACGAACTACTGATGGACGCTCCGCCAATTCCAGTACACTCTCCGCCTGCCAGATCGAAGGCAATTGCGATATGGTTTGAGATGTTTGCAGAAGAAATGCGTGACCCGAAATTAGTTCACAATTTTAGTACGAGGACTAGTCGATCAACGGCCTGGAGTGTTTCTCTCCAAAAAAAACGGCCTGGAGTGTTACTAACGGAAGTCAGTTTGGGAGTTATGGTTTTTGAGGGCATGACCCTCCAAAACCCTCTAAATACCTAATTTTTAAGTTCTCTCGATTTGGAGTAATGGTTTTGAAGGATAATTAATGAAATGGTAATTTAAGTTCAATTAAAAATAAATATCAGTTCAATTATTTAAATTCGTCATATCTCAAAGTAATTTTAATTATAATTCATTCAAAAACCCTCCTCTTCCAAATTTATTACTTCCAAATACAAAGAAGGACTTCTTCACCCTCCTCTCTCTTTCCCCTCCAACAACATACCTCCAAAACCTTCCTCTTCCCTTCCCTCCGAACTCCCAAACATCCTCTTAAGCACCTTTTGGTTTAAATACACTAATGGTCTGTTTGGATCTGTTTGGACACTAATGGTATGTTTGGATCGAGGGTTAGAGAATGTTAGTAATGGAAATATTAGTTAGGGAATGTTATTAATGGAAGTGTTAGTAAGGGCTCAGAAGCGTAAGTGTTAGACATAATTTTACCTTGTTTGGGAGAGTCAAATGAATCAAGGGTTAATAATGGAAGTGTTAATAATTTTACATTTAGCCGGAAGAAACGAGTAAGGAGAAGAGATGAAAAAGACAGACCATCATACATGCGGCAAAGAGATTCGAAGTGAGATGTCGAAGCATTTTATGTTTTTAGGTAAATGAGAAGGGTAATAATTGTCCAACACCTCAAAACAATCCAACGGGGTGTTAAAAAAGTGGGCAATTGAGGTGTTGGGAAGGTTATTTATTATTAACACTTCCTAACCTTTACTAACACTTCTTAACACCTCTTATTTTTTCTCCCAAACAAGTGTTAGTATCAACACTTACTAACACTTCCATTACTAACACTCCCTAACACTCAATCCAAACAGGCCATAAAGGGTTGTCCCCGGTATGGATTTTAATGGATTTTAAAAGATTTTAGCATTCCGTCACAATTTAGGGGGTGTCCTCAATATGAATTTTTAAGGATTTTAGAGGAATTTAGAATTTCATCGAAATTTGGGTGTCCTCAATTAGGATTTGTATGGAGTCTATGGAAATTATGTTGTCCTCAAACTGTCCATGGATTCTTTAACTCTTGGATTGTTAAGGATTTACATGGATTTCAAAGCTAAAATACAAAGGGTAGAATACCGCTGAAAATCTCTAGTGCACCTTCGGATTTGAATGGATTTCCCGTCCAAAAGCAAAACAATGCTAGAAGCAGAGCTCGGTTAATCTGCCGTTCTTCTATCTGTCTTCAATGGATTCCATTAAAATATGGGTGTCCTCAATCTTTTCATGGATTCCAATTATTATTTTTTCTAATGGATTTTAAAGGATTCTAGTGAATTTCTATGCATAAAACATTCGATCCAAAATATCTTCTCACTCCCTCGGATTTCAAATCCATCTCATCCTTACCTAGACATAACAGCTCTCCCGTGGAAAAGCAAAACAAATGGACTCTCCGGAGCTTACCTGCAAAATAATACTCCTACGTAGTATGGTCGTATGGAGAAGGAAGATAGAGTGGTCCACAAGTAGCCTCTCTCTATTTATTTCCCACATCATTGCTTCACTGCTTAAGTGCTTAGATCATATCATTGCCTCGCCCATGCTGCCAAGATTCCGTCACTCTATAATGCATCTCTTGGCTCTTTCATAAGACATAAATGCTTGATGAGTTATGTTCGATATGCCAAGACTCGTGAGGATGACACCAGCAACCTAGACCCGCCCCTTTCCTTCTTCGATTGTGGAAGTTGGACTGATGGGACCTAATGTCTGGGCTTTTCAGAATAAGTCGGGATTTCAATTTCAAAATTCATGGATTCTATACAATTCCATCCGAATCTCATGGATTCTATACAATTCCATGAAAATCTATCAAAATCTGAATCCTTTAAAATCTTATGAAATTCTAATTGAGGACACCCACTAAACTAAACCTTGCTTAAGGATTTTTTTCACAAATAGACGACAAGGTAAAGTAATACGGAGTATCACTTTTCCACTCTTGATTTTGTTTTTCAAAAGTTGATTATTTCATCCTTTATTTTCACAAATAGACCTTAGCGAGTATACAATATTACAACACCTAGTACGTTGACTTGATTGTCTACTGCTCTGTGATCCATAATATTTTCACAAATGCACGTACACTAACAATGTTGAGTCTCTACTCAGCTATAGATGTATTAGATTATATTAATACCAACCTCACCAATCAAGGCCTTTTTTTATGAATATTACTATATCAAATGTGAAAGACAAAAATATGACATCTTGTAAAAAAATCAAAAATATGACTTACCATATCATTTATGCTTTTTTATTTAATATTGCATGTATTACTATTACATTCCTTTTTATGATTAATTAGTCATTGCTGTCCAGTCATTGCCGCTGTCACCACTGGCACCGCCACTAGCATCGCCGCCACCGCCATCGGTCATTGGACCCATTAGTGATTACACAATATGTCACTACATCCTGTCATGATTGGACCACATTAGTGACTAGCCTTTATATCACTGCCGTCAGTGGCTAAACCGCATTAGCGACTACCATCTATGTCATTACCAATAGTGACTCCACCGCAGTGACCACTACCTCCATCTTCGCACCATCCGGTGACCGCCATCCGCTCTGCTTCACCGGCGCCAACCACCTTCTCTAGCCCACCCCCTAGCCCCCCTCCCCATCCCCCAGCACCCTCCCTAGCATTCCAAGTCCTTCCCTACCACTGCCCCACCCCTGCACCCAACCCTCTCCCCTGCAAGCGCTGCACCCCACCACCATATGCTGAAAATAGGACCATCGCTCCCTATCCTTCATCGTCAACGCTCATTGTCTTCATAGCTGATATATGGTTTTGTCGCTGACAATCTCAATCCCACTCAACACAAAGAGAAGAAGATGAGAAAGGGCGAGGAAATAGGGGGGCGATGGCATATGTGGTCGCTCATATATGTAAAGTAGAATGGAGTTAGGGTTTTGTTTGTTGGGTGTATTCTAATTCATTTATTATTAATTAATCACTTTTTTGTCTTTTTCTAATTGTGGTCATATATTTGTTCATTAAAACTCTAGGAGTAATATCCCAGTCATTATTTCAACATTCTTTATTTTTAAATATATAAAAATGTAAAAATTCATTAAACCCCAAAGGTTGATCATAAATTGAAAAATATTAAAAATCGATATAGTAAACATTTTTTATAAAAAAAAACTTAAAGAAAAATTAAAATTCAAAAAAACATAATAAAAGTTGAAAAATTATAAACTTGCAAATTATATTTCAAAATTAAAATAAGATGGATTGAATTAAAAAAAATAGAAAAATACAAATAAGGCTATAGTAAATTTGGAATACAAAAAGCGAAAATAAAATGAAAAAAGTTTAAAATAGTTAAAAATGTGGGAAATTTGTAACAAACAATTAATACTCCGTATAGTGATTTATTTTTTAAATACTAAATTTTATTTTAAACATACAAATGTCAAGAGTATAAAAATTTGAAAGTTTCATAAAAGATGTAAAAAAATATTCAAATTTTAAATATATAAATTCAAATAAAAAAATAAATAACTTTTAAAAATATAAAAAATGAATAAAATTTAATATTTGGATTTTGTAATTTAATATTTTTTAAAACAGCTACACAATTCAATTATTATTGACATAATTTCTTTGTTACTTTTTTATGCATATTGTTTCTTGTTGTTAATTAGTTTAAAAAATTGTTTTTAGTTGTTTATTCTTATTTTTGTTGTTATTGATTTTCATAAATCAAATATATTATTCTAGGTGTTGAAACCTATTAAATAACTAAAAAGAAATCAACTTTTAACAACAAAAACAACAACACACCGCAAAAAGTGACACAATTCAACAAAAAGAACCAAAGAAAACAATACGATGTAACAAAAAGAAACATTATGCAACAACAAAAACTTATGCAACAAAAAGAAACACGATGAAACAAAATACAACATGATGAAACAAAATGCAGCGCAGTACAATTAACATAATGATCGAATATAATTAGAACACACAAGTGTTTGATAAATATATATACTTCAACTTATTTGTCAACATTTATGATTGAAATTATAGTTACAATTTATACTAAAGTACAAGAAACTTATGAAGTCCAGCAATAATAATTTTATTGCTCCATCCCAATGCCAATGTCTTAATAGTCAGCTGCTGCAAACTTGATCTGAGTGAAATTATTATCATCACTTCTGATTGAGGATACTATCATACTCATTGCTACATCAAAAGATAAACAGAAGGCGATAGTTATCTTGATGCTAACCAAGAAGATGAGATGAAAGATAGTGAAAGCAAGACATAAATTAGTACCGATTTAAACTCTTTTCATTGAGGAGTTGTTGTATATAGATATAAGCACCTTATAATCTTTTCTTCTATGTGGAGGAGACTTTTTCTTGGGGTTGGTATCTTCATCGATCTTCCTCCTCTTCCTCACCGTGTTCAATTGTTCATCATCGTCTTCATCTTCCTCATTGTCTTTATCTTCGTCTTCATCGTCTATTTCAAGTTCTTCTTGAACAGCCCCGCATTTGAACCCAGACACAACATGTGGAATGATTTTGTCTCAAATAGTTGAACCATTTTCACAGTCACGCTCCATCAAATTTTGGAGCTCCTCTGCGCATTTCAGATTCATCCCCTTTAACATCAACAACTCCATTTACAAATTCATGTCTTGGAATATACAGGTTGATAAAGTTTTCGGTACTTAGCTTCTAGTGGTGCCCTCTCTAAGAACATCATCAACACACTTTCTTACAATTGGAGACAAGTTCTCGAGCAAACCAAGTATTTTCTAGTAAGATCTTGAACCTTATTTTTAGACCACTAACATAATATTGAAAATGGACTACCAAATATTTAGTTGGGTCATCATAACAATGACAAAAGCCCAATAAAGTGCCAACTAAAGTTGAGGGAAGTGTTTGGATAACCCAA